TAATATATTTTTAAGGTTGTTTAAATTTATATTGTTAACTTAAGGTAATCGTTCATATGAATAGGTGTTGTGGGATGCCTAACACCTTCTCTGCACACAATCACTCCCTTACCCTTTTCTATATATATAACCACGCATTTAAAAGGTTTTTAAAATTACCTTTTAAAATTTTGGTGGCGACTCCAAAATATCTATTTTTATTTGATTTTCCTCCTCTCAAAATTTTGGATCAAGCGCTATAAATTTTTTTAAGGAAATCTATAAGTTAATCTGATCAGATATGAAAGCGGTGTGTGTGTGTGTCAAAAGTCTCATATTGCCTAAGTGAAGAACTCTCTTAGTATATAAATACTAAGGAATGAAGTGGTCTAATAAAATGAGTTTGAAGGAGAAGTGAGCTCGCATGCACGAAACAGACCAACTCAAGGCAATCATAGTTGAAATCAACCAATTCGCCCCTTATGTACGAGTTCAAAAGGCACTGGGTTCCTTTTATCGGATTAATTTTACAAAAATAAATAATTATTTATTTACATTTGCTTACTAGAAAATCTCATTTTTTGGCTGTCTGGAGTTTGAAATCAAATCATGAACCTTTTTTGCCATTAACTAGATTTTGAAATGGATGATTAATTTTCTAAACATATTTGTCCCCCCAACATTTTCAAACTGATGCTTAAACATGTTTTATATTTGTGTAATCGAGATATTATGCTTTATGAGTGTGTAACCGAGCCTTTACTCCGGTGGTTGAATGCCTAACATTTGAGTCCAAGATCTGGCCTATATATAGGCATGCATTCGGACTGAACAACTTGCTAGCCTCTTGAGCTTTCGAGGCATTCTTCTCCCCCTCTAACTTCTCTTTTTTGTTTGAGTTTTCTGTTAGTGTTGTTGTTCTATATCCTTACATTGTGCAGGAAGTGCTTGTTTAATCCTGAGAAACTACCGATCTGTCATCTCGGTGTGCTAAATAGTTCTTAAGAATAGTGTCCTTCTGGGTACCACTCAAGCAGCTCGCCATTTACGAACAAATAGCCAATAGAAAGAACACAATGTCCAATTTTAATAAACTCCTAAAAAGGATGTTACAAATAGATTTTAACTATAATTTTTAATTTAATTTGTAGATATTCAATTTTGGATCCATCCTTGGCTAAGCGGCATCAAAATTATATGGAAGGCATATAAAACTTTAACATAAGTGGCCAATCTAATTTAAAAGTTAGTATGCCTACATTTGCAAAACTTCTTATTCATTATGATTTTAACCCATAGAATGAAAATGGGTGTTATTGTTGCCGTTCCTCCAATAAAGAGAATGACACTCAATGCACTTTAATGGACCTTGGCTTACTCAAGTATTTAGTGTTTGATTTCATTATTGCAAAGCCTAGCTAAGTTTTTGTTCATAATTATAATTGGTTCTCCTTCATTTATATGACAAGAAAAGGAAGATATAATCCCCTATTGGCAAGTAACTTGCCTATAGGTTACATGTTAGGTATTATTTTGCTTGTGTTATTTGTTATTTGCCATATTTGAATAGTTTAAGTGGTACAAAAGAGAACTAAATTTGATTAGAGTATGGCATCCAATTCATCTAATGATACTATTTCACCCACAATGGGACCTAATTGACGTCAAATCTTATAGGATATCACTAATATAAGGTATCTCATGTATTGTCATGTTGTATTATAACTCTGTGGAATATGGATTAATTTGTTGGTCTGTCACCTAGGTAGATGCTGAACTTAATTACTCTAATGAATTTAGTGAGAATCATAGTCACAATTACATTGATCTTCATTTTGGTTATGTTGGTCATCAAACTAATAATTTTGGTTAGTTTATGTTTTTAGTTAATTACCATTTATTTACTCAAATATGACAAAGTTTATGTAATATTGATGTTGACACTGCAAATTCAAGGAAAGTTTTATTAGTTTCTTATGCGTTGATTCACTTTTATTAGCAAGGCTTGCAAACTATAACCAAAGTGTGGTAGCCAATTCATCTAATGATGCTATCTCACCCACAATGGGACTTAATTGACGTCAAACCTTACAAGCTATTACTAATATAAAGTGTCTCACATATTATCATATTCCTTATAAAGTTGAAGTTTCTTGCTCTATTGTTCCATTATAACTCTATGGATGTGTGGTTAATTTGTTGTTGGATTATCATCTGGGTCTTTAAATGCTGATTTTAATCTCTCTAATGAATTTAGTGAGAATAATAGCCTCGATTACACTAATCTTTGTTCTAGAGATGTTTGTCATCAAGCTAAAAATTTTGGTTAGTCTTTGTTTTTAGTTAATTATCATTTTACTCTAATATGATAAAGTGTTGGTAAAATTATGTATAGATCACATGGAACAGACTTATTTATAAATAAGTCTTATGAAATTTGAAAACCACATTCAGGTCTCTTGGAACCTAAGTGTAATTTGAAATTAAGCTAGAAAGACAATAATACCCCTATTAAACATACTTGCATTAATTAGATAATTAATTTACAACCACTTCATTAATAATTTATAACTATAATTTTAACTTTTTACAACTATAACTTCATACATTCAATAGTTAAACAATCGTGTTACTAATAAAAGTTTAACATTAATTATTTACAATTATTTTATTAGTAATTTATAACTATAATTTTGCTTTTTACAGTTATAATTTCATATATTCAATAATTAAACTGATCACAAAGTTTAACATTAATTATTTACAATTACTTCATTAGTAATCTATAACTATAATTTTAATTTTTTACAACTGTAACTTCACATGTTAAATAGTTTAAACTGATTAATTATAGTAAGATCCCAAGGAACATAATTATGATTTTTAAATTTTGCGAGACTTATTTGTCTACTCCATGAGACTTATATGTAACTTTCCTTAAAGTATATGTAATATTGATTTTGATGCCACGAATTCAATAAAAGGTTTATTAGTTTCTTGTGTGTGATTCACTTTTATTTATAAGGCTTGTAAACTATGATAAAATATCAACCGATGATACTAACTCTACCTAAAATATGCTCCCAATTAATGTTGATGGTTAGTATTTGATCAGTGAGATTTGTTAGATGAACTTAGCTTATATGTTCATTATTTAAGATAAAATTCTTATGTGATAAATGTAGTTCATGCAGATTATATAGATGAAAGGGATTTAATTTATATTTGTCAACATTATAATGCTTTGATGTGGTTTAATGAACAAGTAAAGCATGGAATAAAATTTTTACTATTGCGATTTTCTCTTTGCCATTCACAAGAAAAAATTAAATTGCTTTTAATAGAGCCATCACATATATATCTCCATATATAAGTTTTTTTTATTGTTCATCACATGAATCTAAGAACTTTCTTAGTAATATTAGATCTTATAACAATATGTTTTCCTTTACTTATATGGGCGAAAAAATCACAACTTCTATTGGTTATGGGCATTACTCCTTTACATTATCTGTACAAAACTATCATCAGATTAGAAGTCATCTTCCAACGATAGGCTCCTAACCAATTTATTCTCAACTTTATTTTTGATATTAAGCATGAGATTTCTAATAGATTCTCCGTGATGAGGTATGTCTTCTTGTTGCAATTGTCTCATGTCAGGCGCCATTGATTCCTAAAAGTTGTTTTGCTGAAGGTTTCTTTGCTTTTCCTAATAACCATGACCAAGATAATGAACTTGATCCAAGGATTGTGTAGAATCTTATGGAATTATTTAATGATGTAAATTGTCTTGTCAAGAGTTATCAAATGGCTTCTTAAATGATTAACCATCATCATGTTGATAATATCAAGATACGTTTGATGAGCAAAACATATATGCAAAGTCATAATTATGCTTTATTGAGACCCTCTAATTAAGATGCACTCATTTTAGGTGATTCAGATCATTCTTATCAACCTCGTGACATCATTGTTAAAACACAATTAGAAGAGTTACAATGAATTCATGAAATGCACAGTCATACCTTCTACTTTAATATCCTATTTTATTTCCATTTGGTCGAGGTAAATATGAAGAGAAATTTAAGTGCATATCTATATAGTGAGAAGAGAAATTTTGTTTTTATTTATGAATTTCTGGCATTTCAACTTATGAATAAAATAAAATAGTTAGTTTTTAATCACAAATCAATCCATTTTCTAAATCCGTCCAATCTTGAAAAAAGTACCAAAAAATAAAATAGTTAGTTTTTAATCTTTGCTTATTTTAATTCAAATCATCAAATCCACTCAAGTTGTTAATATTTTGGGTAGATTTAATCAACTAAGATTTTAATTTTTAACTAATTTCGCAAGAGATTTGACCTAGGTTGCTCCCAATATGCATTATAATGCTTATTAATTTAATTTGAGTGCTTAAGTGACTAATGCACATCAGAGTACCAAGATAATTAATAATAGATATTTAAGAGGATCTTAACTTATCTCGATATAATTAAAAGATAGGAAAAATTTAAAGTAGTATCTTACTATGTCCCTCCTTTTTTCTTCCCGGGCCTTTCTCTAAGTGTGTGTTTGGATTTGATCACGTTTCCATTCCAAAAGTAAATTTTAACTTTCCAAATGTAAAATGTTGTTTGGCTTCCTTTTTTCAAGTAAAACGTACTTTCCAAACTGAGTTTCAAAAACGTTTGAGATGGAGAAATTTGCAAAGCTACTCTGGGTTGCTTTCAAAACGTGATCAGTTGGAATGGATATTTATGGCTGGTACATAATTTTTTTATTGACCATGATGCCCTTCATTTTTGCAGCTGATACATATCACCTACGCTCCCTCATTGGTCCTCATTCATGCAGCTGATACATCAGTCTCGTTCGTCCTTTGCTGCTGCTCTGTGTCTGCCGGTCGTCCGCTGCTAGTTCGCTGATCGTTCGCCGCTAGTCCACCGTTCGGCCATCTCTTCTCCTTCTCTCCTTCGCCTCTCCTTCGCCATCACAGATCCGGATCTCTTCCTTCCCTAAGCATCTCCCTCCTTCATCGACGGTGGCTGCATTTCTGGCCAAAGAGCTCTCTCATCTCCTGTTACTACTATCTCTCCACCTATCTCGAAGCTGCTCTCCAGAGGCGGCATCTCCACCATCTCGCCCAGTTCTTTCGAAATGGACGGTCGCCAAAGGAGGAAGAGGACATTGCCAATGACGACGACGAAGAGGAAAATAAGAGTGACTTTGTCGGAGGATTAAATATCTTCATAGCAGCGACCTTAGTTGCGGCGGCCTGAACATCGGAGAGTTGGGAGCAAGTCAGGGCAGGGAACTCGCGAGGTGAAAGTCGTCCATCTCCGGCGTGGCGAAGGTGCCGAGCCAGCTCCAGTTCTTTTTCCTGGGCTCCTGGATTTTTAGCACCCACTTGCCCCACGCCCTCATTCGAACCCCTCTGTACATGGGATGCTTGCTGTTGCTGCTATCTCGGCCCTTCTTGAGCTTCCTCTATTGTGCTGGTAATGTCTCAGAAGCAGAGTTTGGCCATGACTGAGGCGGAGATAGTCCAGATGTTGATGGCGAGGACGACGTGACGATAGAGAGTATATTATTATTACACATTTTTTTAATATTAAATTTTATATTTTTTATTCTTATTATTTAATATTTTAAATTTTATGTTATTTTAAATTTATTTCATATTTTTTAATATATTATATTTATATAATAAAAATTATAAATTATTATAAATCAATGTCCTTTTTAGTCATTCTATATTTAGAAGCACATTTCAAAAGCATATATTTTTATTAATCCAAACAACTTTCAATTTGTCAAACTGACTTTTAAAAAAATGTATCCAAACACAATTTTCGTTACAACAACTGACTTTTACCAAACTGACTTTTAATAAATGAACTTTCATCAAACTGACTTTTGACAAACTAAAAATCAAACATGCACTAAGATTTTTCATTCTCTCTCTCAATAATTCTTTTTTTTACCCCCTCACCAATCGATCATCTTGCTATTTATAGGGGAAAAGTTGAGAGAAAAGTGGTTGGCAACTTTTTGCATCACTTCCCACTATTGTTTTATCCCATATCATAATAATGCTTTCCTCACCGTAAATTCATCCCTATTCCATGTTTTTTATTTATTATTTTATATCAATTCTTCCTTTCATTCACTTGTAGCAAGCTTCACTTTTTTCCCCAGAGTTTAACCTATTTCTTTCTCTCCCTCTCCCCCTTACGTGTGACTTTAATTATCAAGAAGGAAGCTAAGTACAACTTTATTATTAAAAAAATGGTCAAGGCCTAAAGTTGTAAATAGTTGTAATTTATAAAAAGAACTATAATAGATAGATTTATTATATAGGTATATACAATACATTATTATTGAAAAATAGTTAAGGTCTAAAGTTGCAAATAGTAGTAATTTATAGAAAGAACTATAATAAATAGATTTATTATATTGGTATATACAATACAATCTTTCTGTAGCTATATTGTAGGTACTTACACCCATATATATATATATATATATATTCTTAGTGATAATATACATATCAATATATACTACAATAAATATATTACTACTATATTAGATTTATATGACAATAATCACCCATTACAAAGTAGGTATGGCTGCCTACGTATATTATATATGTGTATGTGTGGAAATTTTTTGTCTAATAGTATTTAGAAATTCACTAGGATTACTAAATTTCATGCAACTCAACTCGTCTTTATTTTTGGTACCAAAACATGGGAATTAAATACTTAGTATCTTGATCAATATCTTGCAAAATACAAGGAAATATGTGAATATTCAAAATTCTTGGAGAAATCCTATATATATATATATATATATATATTCTCGGAGGTTGTTACATCGATTCTGGTTGACAAGTATATATTTATTGAAATTCTTGACAAAGAGGAAGACCACCTTCTATATGAATTAGTTAAAACTCACATGATTCATGAACCTTGTGGAATTGCAAATCAAAATTCTCCTTGTATGAAAGATAATAAATGCGACAAATACTTCTCAAAGAAATTTCACCAAGAGACTATTGTTAATGATGAAGAATATTCTACATATAGGAGAAGAAATAATGATAGGGTAGTTGTAAAAAATGGAGTTGATGTAGACAATAGATGTGTTATGCCTTATAATTCTTTTTTGCTTAAAAAGTTTCAATGCCACATTAATATTGAAAAAATAAATCATTTGAAATCTATTAAGTACTTATTCAAGTATGTTAGCAAAGGAAAATAGGAAATGATAGAGTGAATGTCAAATTTTACAAGCATGATGGTTTATCATCAACATTTACCGTGGAAAATGAAATCAAACAATATAATGATTGTCACTATGTTTCTTCATGCAAAGGTGCCTGGGGGATTCTTGGGTTTAAAATCATATATAAATATTTTCCAGTTGAGCATTTGCGATTTCATTTGTTGAATGAACAAACTATTTTCTACTTAAACTATGATTAGTTGGATGATATCATGCAAAAGCTAAGTGTGAATGAGCCCATGATGGCGGGTACGAAATATGAAATAGACTCACATTCCATAAGCCTCGATTAATTAGAAAATTCATTTAGACTAATGATATAATTTATATTTAAATTTAAAATTTATAAAGTTTTAAACATTTTGTAAAAATTTCAGTAGAGTCTTTTTTGCAACTAGGACCTCCCAAATTTTCTACAATAACAAAATTTGTCAACCAAACTAGAAAGGAGCATAGCTTCACACTAACAGATTTCATAATAATAAAATAAGACTAGGATCTAACTACGGTATACATGGGATGTTAAGTTAACATTTCATCATATAAAATATGCTTACATCAAAATAACTAATGCATGCTTTCATAGGTCTAAAAAGCAATTGTGTCCTTCAGTGATTAGCAGGAGGTGCAGGGTCAATTTTAATGTTTGATGCTGAAGAAAATTTTTTGGTGAATAGCCTCTCAATTTACAGTTGAAAAAATAATGAAAAGCAAGTCAATGAGTCAATTATAAATTTACTAAAATAATCAATTAAAATTTATATAAACCATGAATACATAAAAATAAATAGAAATTATTAAAATTTCAAATTTCTTTTCCTTCTTCTTCTCTTCCTTTTTTTCCTTTTAAAATTTTACACATACTTAAACATCTTGAGGTATATATATATATATATCGTTCAATGTAAAATCCATATGTAGTAAAAATAACAGTTTGCTTTTTGAGATTAAATTTAAGGAAAATAGTTTCAATTTTTTTCCTTCTTTAGCAAGAATTAATTAGAATGATTAATAAGAGTGGACACACAGTTTACGAAGGTAAGAAACATACTCAGTATGGCAAGAAGCCACAAAAAATGGGCGCAAGCATAAAGCTCACGAATAATAGGCATGAATTATATCCACAAAATCGTATCCTCCATTCCACCTGTGTTGACCGGCACGTAGGGCTAGCACCTTCAATGCACCCTGCTAGCTAGGTGAACCATGGTGCACCAAGCGCTAACGAAACTGCCATTAGCATACAACATTCTAAACTCATCCCCCTAATTAAATCAAACGTGCATGGAATTAAAACATTCATTTAAAACTATTTCTTTCAAAATATAATATTTAGCTATCAGACTTTCTTTTCAATTTTTCTCCATGCATGAATCATCGTGTTAACCAATATCATATGAGTTATAAAATTTAAACAAGCTTAGAATAAATAATCAGTTAATAATATACTTAATCTAAATATTTTTTAACAATAGCATAATTCTTAATAAAAATAAAGCATATTCTATAATGAATCAATTAATATAAGAGTGAAGTGAGAAGAATTGTATAAATTATAAAAATAGAATTAACAAGAATATTTATACGATTTATAAAGGAATAATATAAAAATTTAAATAAAAAATTTTTACAAACACTTTACAAGAAATTATTTGGAATACTACGTACTTACCTGAGAGTTTTTAAATAATTCTAAAACTTGCTTCACTTCAATTTCTTACTTAATTCCAAGGATATCATTAATTTTCCTAATAAATCAATCACAATTTAAAAACCACTTATTCATTCTTTTCTTAATATAAATAAGTAAGTATTTTAATATCCTAATAATCAACAATTAACAAAATTCTTTTTACTCTAATAAGTCCTCTGCTTCATTCAATATCACTTGTTAATTAATTCTTCAAACAATTAATGACATTCAAATTAATTCTAAATAACATCATAACTATAAATGTTCAATTAACAATTTCCTTATCACATTATTAACAAAACAATAACCTAACTAGAATAATATAAGAATTTTTTATTCCTTTTTAAAGCTTAATAAAACACCATAACCATTATTTAATATTACCTCCTTAAGTGCCCTAAGATGCCAATTTAATGTTTCAAGCCGCCATTTACACATATTCCTTTAAACTAATAATATAGAAATTAGATAACTTGCATTTTTGTCAATTTTTCTATTGTGCATTTTTACAAACATCTTAAGTGCATCAAAGTCCTATTCATAATAAGCAACCAACAAGACTCTAATACTTTCCTCAATCTAACTTTAAATTCTTTCTTAAACATTTTAACAAATACTTTATGGACATTCTAAGTTAAGATAAAAAGCAAGCACCTTGATATAAAATAGATAACCCAACTTTGAAGCGCAAATGTAATTTCTTAAAGTTTTCTCAACATCAACATAAACTCTTATCCTAGAATATAATTTCCTTCTTTTCCATTAATAAATTTCAAATTAAATTGTGTCAATTGATTAACACATTACTCTTTTCACAAGCATTTAAACAAACACCTTGAGAGTATTCCTATTTGCTCACTATAAAACCAATTTACACATATCCATTCCAACTTCTCATCATCATTTAATTCCTAAATCAAACTTTCGTACACTACTCAAGCATAATTAAGAACACAAAATATCTTAAATTTAATCCCAATCAACCATTTAAATCACATCATTAGAAAGCAACTAAAATGAACAATTTCAACTAAAAATTCTAATATATAAAGACTCATTCAACAAGCTTCTTCCTTCACTAACAAGTAGGTGAAACAATTAAAACACAATTTTAGATCCCTCCTTCAACAGCCACAGTAGCTCAAAGAGGAAAATAATACATCTATCGGTTATCAGATAAGGAAAAGAATGAGCTTACCACATATACCCATGCAACTTCCAGTAGCTGGGAAGGAAAGAAATTGAAGCTCACACACTCATAGACCATACATGTCGACGGTGAAGTAAGAGAAGAGCAGAAGCGAAGCAGGGGTGAGCAAGAACAGAAAATCCAACAACTCTACTTCACAAAAGCAGATTGACATTGATAGGGAGAAGGGTGGTAGACAACCAGCAACGGCGAGAGGGAAGTCAGTAGTGGAGAATAAAAATGCAGACCGACAATGAAGAATTAAAAGAG